GGGTAAGATACACTTTAAGCCCCATCTTTTCAACTGCCTCTGACACAGCTTCAAAAATATCTTTTCCTGTCGTTGTGCTTTTTAGGCTTGTCATATCAAGCAGCTCCTCCATACAGCAAAAATTATCATCTACTCCCCGCAAAAAAATTAACAGTTGCGCGGTGTCTGTGGCATCCGTGCTCTCATCGCATGCCATCGAGTAAAAATCAAAACCACAAGCTTTGATTTCTTTGAAAAAAAAATACTCATTTTCCCACCGTGTTTGAAATCTCCTACACTCACTTAGCCTGGTTTAAACCAGACCCTGTACTTCACTTTGCTTCGTACAAGGGTCTGGACTTGCTGCATAGAGAATCGATTTCTTGCAGGAGGCGTGGCCTCTGCTGAACTTTAAAATGATTGGATCAGTTGGCTGCGACGTATGTCGGTGTGAAGGAGGCTAAGCTAATAAGCTAACCGGAAATTGTGTGTGCTGTAAACAACCCTACTGAAGAGGAGAAAAGTACCGAGCCAAACAAGACGACTGTAAATGAGAGCTGCTGCTTTGTCAGACAAATTTAATTTAATTTGGAAGCCTTATCAACACAGAATGGCTTCATTCACTTCCTCCACTGCCGTATGCTAAAATAACTTGCAGACACTGTGCAGAACATCGACGTCATTCAAAACTCCTCCTTCTGTTCTCTGATTGGCCCAGGTAAAATAAACTACATGCAGACACTGTGCAGAAAATCAAAGTTCTCTTCTCTGATTGGCCCGGCTAAAAATCTGTCTGCGAGATCCATCTCAATGGGAGAAGTCCCAGACGGAGCAGTGAAGGGAAACTAGAATTGAGCGGAGCTGCGTAGGAAGGCAAGGGCCAGGCTAACACTCACTTGCTATTTTTCGTTTCTTCGGCGTTGCCATTTCAGAAGACTCAGATTGTCACAATCAAAAAAATGTTCTTCTGCTCTATAATTTCGTTTCAGTGGCTGGCTCCATCTATTGTTGAAACTGAGAAGTGCAACAGAGTTGAGCTCAAGCTGCTTGTGCGGGCCATATATAGTTGGCTTTATCTAGTGTTGAAAATGAGAAGTGCAACGGAGTTGAGCTAAAAATTCTTGTGCGGGCCATATTCAATTATATTTTCATTTGCTGCGGGCCAATAAAAATGGTACCGTGGGGTGTAGTTTGGACACCCCTCTAGTTAAAGGATTTTTTAAAATGTTTGTTTCAAAACATTCAAATTGAAGAATGTTTTTGGAGCAAAATCTGCTTTGCTTTTACTTTTTAAGAATTTCATTGCTTATTCGGGATAATTATCCTGCAGTCCTCGCCTAAACTATAAGCTTGTAAAAAGTAAAGGCTTATGCTATTTTCAGAGACATTTCAAACTTCTTTCAGACAGCCCGAATCAGCAAAATATCAACTGTCCCATACCTTACGAAATGTGTTAAGTTCGTTTTGTTTCTGATTTTCATCATGTGAGATGGAAACAATTTTGTCATCATCATTAACTAAATCAAGATCTCTTTTTCAGACCTGGCCAAGAAGTCATAAAATACTGATCAAAGCTAAAAGTCATATAAGCTAAAACACTTTTATTACCCACATAAACAGTTTGTAAATTTAAAGTGCAAAGGCAATGCTTAATAATCACAGCAGTAAGTCAAAACAGAAACAGTAAGCAATAATTATTTTACAGCCAGTGGTTAAAAATGTAAGTTCTCAGTAACTTATTCTTTCAGGACAGAACAAAAGCTTTTGAAATAAATGATGTTGGATGATTTCAGTCTTTAAATGTGCTAAAATTTACCCAAAGTTTCATGATTATTGGCTCTGATGTAATAAATAACTTGTTATTTTGTGTTTTTCTTAGATCTTTTTTGGAGAAACTTTGGTCCTTTTGTGGAACCTTTACTCATTCTCTAGGATGTTTTTTATTTATAAATAATCTCTAACTGTGACCTAGCAGAACATTAATTAAAGAAAAGGATATATTTTTGAGGTGATGATGATCACGGTTGGTGTTTGTAATCACCTTTTTCATGCTGCAAGCTGGTTAAAAAAGAACATTTCAAATTCATAGTGGATGCACATTAAACACACTGAAATTCTTTATAACCCAATTAAACGTGTCCCAAAATGGAAGGTTTCAAACAGATTTACTGAAAAATGACATGTTGACTGTTGAGCCATAACTTAGTATTCCTGAACAATCTCAACTTTGTTTCCTCTCTGGCACTGGATCATCTTCCCTCCCTATTATTTTGCCTTGGAGGACAAAGCACAATGACCACCCGCTATAGACGTCCCATTGTGAGCTGCGTGGCACCACAGCAGAATGCTCACTGCCATCTAGAAGCCTCCGGGGTCGCAGATCTGGCCTGGTTTCGTCTGGGCTTCACATCCGCATGCAGTCACCAGTTTTAGAACAACAACAGTCTGAAGGGATGACCTGCATGCTCCCGCTGTCCTGCTGCTCAGACACAGACCCCCTCTCAGAGCGCGGCGTCACAGTGACTCAGCTCTCACTGGTGTTAAACTTGGTGTCAAAATGGTCCAAAACTGCATGTAATATTTTAACATAAGTTCTTGTGATACAATTTTTCAAACATGCTTGTGGTTTTTCTGTAAAGACTAACTTAGCAACAAGTTTGGAACGTGTCACTTTAGCTCCAAAAAACCTTGAAAATTAAACATGATTTGCACATGCGACGACATGTGCCATGTAAAGAACATGCAGCAATCCAAATCATAAAGTTACCTAACATTTTGTAATTTGGTTAAAATTGGATTAAAAATTATAAAACTGTTGTACTATTTGATTTCTTCCCTACAGCTTCCTGTAAAACCAATAAGAATTCCCCCACGTCTAAAAATCGTTCATCTTATCGTGCTTTACTAAAACTTTTTCTTTTAAAGACAAGAGTTTTTATCATTCCTCTCCATCTCCCTTGCAGCTGCAGTGTGCTACGTCTACAGCGCTCTGGGTGTGACTGCTGGTGCTCATAGGTTATGGAGCCACAGATCCTTCAAGGCTTCTTTCCCCCTCAGAGTCTTCCTCGCTGTTGGCAACTCCATGGCATTTCAGGTAAACCTAACAAAAACTAATGATTGCACATTTATAGCTTGGCAGCAGCTGCACTTCTGAGATGAGAAACGGTCGCATAATGATGTGAAACTTATGGGATGTGTATTTGTTTTTATAAATTTTTTTGCTACTACACAATCTCTGACCTTCAATCTGATAATGTGAAATGCTAATGTGTATGTTAAAGTGCTCGCATAATCTTCTTGTCTTCTGTCCCTTTTTTCCTTTTGTAGAATGATATTTATGAGTGGGCCAGGGATCATCGTGTCCACCATAAGTACTCTGAAACCAACGCAGATCCCCACAATGCCAAGCGTGGCTTCTTCTTCTCCCACATTGGGTGGCTGCTGGTCCGAAAGCATCCCGATGTCATCGAGAAGGGACAGAAACTGCAGCTGGAAGATTTGAGGGCAGATGAGGTGGTGATGTTCCAGAGACGGTGAGGAAACATTGAAGCTTGAAGATAAATAATGATCAGTAAAATCTTTAACATTAAATATAACATTTTATTTAACATTTCAGTGTTAGAATAAGATAGTGTTGAATCTGCTTTGCACAGTGCTGTAGTGATCAAGATCACACTGACTGATCATTGGTCAACAACTCTGCTCATCTGGAAGCAATCCCAGATTTTCACTTTGTTCTCAAGAAAGGGGGATTAACAGTGAAAGCCACAAGCTCAGGGACTTAAGTCAACAAGGCACAGTGGCACTGGTTTATATACAGTATATGTAAAGCAAACAACACGAAAGGGGATTTGAGAGTGATGCAACTTGTTCCTTTGTTTCAGGTACTACAAAATCTCTGTGGTGATCTTTTGCTTCCTTGCCCCGATGTTGGTGCCCTGGTATTTCTGGGGCGAGTCCCTGATGGTGGCGTACTTTGTTCCTGGACTCTTTAGGTACGCCATGGTGCTTAATGCCACCTGGTTGGTAAACAGTGCTGCACACATGTGGGGCAACAGACCTTATGACAAGGCCATCAACCCGAGGGAGAACCTATTTGTTGCTTTAGGTGCCATAGGTAAGGAATCATCACTCATTTTGTAGTCAAACTCTTGTATTTCATTGTGGTTTTTTTGTGTGTGTCTTCTTGGCAATGGGGTGACTGTGGCTGAGTGGCTAGGGGAGTTTTCCTCCAATAAGAAAGTTGGGGGTTCAATTCTACTGCTATTCAGTCACGTATCAAAGTGTCTTTGGGTAAGACACTTAACCCCCACTGCCTCTTGTGTGTTTCCCATCAGTGTATAAATTTGGTTTATAGCACGGATTAGTCTCTATAGAATGATTTATACAGATTAGCTTTGTAAAGAGATATAGTAGAGTGCTGAATTAATGTGTGTGTGTGTGTGTGTGTGTGTGGGTGTGTGTGTGTGTGTGTGGGTGTGTATACAGTGGGTAAAATAAGTATTGAACACGTCACCATTTTTCTCAGTAAACATATTACTAGAGGTGCTAATGACATGAAATTTTCACCAGATGTTGGTAACAACACAAGTGATCCATACATACAAAGAAATCAAACCATAAATGTCCAGAAATGAAGTTATTTGTAATAATGTGGAATGGCACAGGGAAAAAGTATTGAACACACTTACTGAAATTTATCTAATACTTTGTACAAAAGCCTTTGTTGTCAATGACAGCTTCAAGACGCCTCCTGTATGGAGAAACTAGTGGCATGTATTGCTCAGGTGTGATTTTGGCCCATTCTTCCACACAAACAGTCTTCAAATCTTGAAGGTTTCGTGGACCTCTTCTATGAACTCTGATCTTTAGTTCTTTCCATAGATTTTCTGTTGGATTCAGGTCAGGTGATTGGCTGGGCCATTCCAGCAGCTTTAGTTTCTTTCTCTGAAACCAACTGAGAGTTTCCTTGGCTTTGTGTTTGGGCTCATTGTCTTGCTGAAATGTCCAGCCATGTTTCATCTTCATCATCCTGGTAGATGGAAGCAGATTTTTATCAAGAACGTCTCTGTACATTTTTCCACTCATCCTTCCTTCAATTATTTGAAGTTTGCCAGTACCATATGCTGAAAAACAGCCCCACACCATGATGTTCCCACCTCCAAACTTCACTGTTGGTATGRTGTTTTTGGGCTGATGTGCAGTGCCATTTGACCTCCAAACATGATGTGTATTCTGGCATGCAAACAGTCCAGTTTTGGTCTCATCTGACCAGACTATATTCTCCCAGTATTACACAGGCTTGTCTAAATGTTGTGCAGCAAACTTTAAAGAAGCTTCAACATGCTGTTTCTTCAGCAGTGGAGTCTTGCGTGGTGAGCGTGCATACAGGCCATGGTGGTTCAGTGCATTACTTATTGTTTTCTTTGAAACAATCGTACCTGCTAATTCCAGGTCTTTCTGAAGCTCTCCACAAGTGTTCCTTGGCTCTTGGACAACTCTTCTGATAATTCTTTTCACTCTGTCAGAAATCTTGTGAGGAGCACCTGGTCGTGGTTGGTTTACCTGGCCATCATTTGGGACTGAACCAGCTGATATTAACTTTCACTGACAAGGGGCAGGCTTGCTTTCTAATTACTGAGAGTGTTCAGCTGGTGTCTTGGCTTTCCATGCCTTTTTACACCTCCCTTTCTTCATGTGTTCAATACTTTTTCCCTGTGCCATTCCACGTTATCACTAAAGACTTCATTTTTGGACATTTATGGTTTGATTTCTTTGTATGTATGGATCACTTGGGTTGTTACCAACATCTGGTGAAAATTTCATGTCATTAGCACCTCTAGTAATATATTTACTGAGAAAAATGGTGACGTGTTCAATACTTATTTTACCCACATCGTGAATTTTCTGTAGGGGTAAAACAATACAGTGGTATTGTGTGAATTAGGTTCTGATTAAGGTTAGGGTTAAGAATAGACCAGAAATCATTAGGGTTAGGGAATAAGTCTGGTTTAGGCATAAATGTAGTTATAGAAATGACTGAAAGTCAATGCAAAGTCATCAGTTTAATGTAAGTAAAAGGATGTGTGTGTGAATGGGTAATCGCTTTGAATATCCTCATTGGATAGAAAGGCGCTATATAAGTACAGTCCATTTACCATTTAATTTCAGTTGTTTTAAAAATTCACAATAGTATAAGTATAATTGTCTTAAAAATACTCCAAATTTTGAGGAAATTTTAGTTTAGTAGCTGAACAAGTTACTGCCTGCAAATGCAGTAGTGTCTCCAGAAATATTTTAATGGGGTGGCCAAGTGGGGGGCAACAAAAATCCTGCAATGGCACACAAAAAAATAAAAGCCAAAACAGAATTTCAGTAAATTTGTTATATGTTTGGCAAATACAGCAATATCTTAATTAGGGAGTCACTTTCTGAAATCTATAGGTCTACTTTTATTTATTATTTTTCTGGGGGCCATCAGTATTTTTAGGGGTGGCTTTAGTTTGCCCCGCTGCCTCCCTGTTGGTGGCACCCCTGGATTTTAGAAAAGAACAGAAATATTTCTTTATGTATTTACTTTTCTGTTTTTATCTTTTTTTTTTCCTGTATCTATCTAACATTTGGGAACTTCTGCAATAAAATGATCAATTTTTATAAAGATGATTAAAAATGATTTCGCATTTCAGATGCATTAGTGGACTTTCTATAGACATTAAAACAGTAGAACAATAAATTTTCAGTTACAAGCATGAATTAGTTAAATTATACAGCTTGTTTTCACAAGTACAGTATGCATGCTTTTAGTTCTGGTAATCCTCTGAAACCTTCTTGTTTTATTTTTTAATTTTTTTATTACAGGGGAAGGCTTCCACAACTACCATCACACATTCCCCTTTGACTACGCCACAAGTGAGTTTGGCTGCAAGATCAACCTGACCACGGCCTTTATAGATCTCATGTGCCTCTTAGGGTTGGCCAGAGACTGCAAGCAGGTTTCCAAGGAGATGATCGTGGCCCGCGTACAGCGAACGGGTGATGGAAGCTACAAAAGTGGCTGAGTCAGGATGGGCTGTGTTACCAAAGGGTCAACAGCCGAGGATGTAGCAACAATTCACTGGTGCGGAGATGATTACCAAGCTTCTGATCATGAGTTAAACCTTTATGTGAAACTAATGTTTCAAGAAGTGTTTCCATAAAAGTTGTGGGAGTCTTTGTTGTGTTCACAGATTATTTGTGACTAATAAAAACTTGACTACCTGTGCAAACACAGTATTTTCCAACCGTGACATATTTTTGGCATGCTTAAATGAGCAGTGTGCAAAAACAGTTTTCAACAGAATCATCTTATTTAAATTTTATTTAATAATTTAGTATATTTTGTATGGTTTTCAGCACTTTGAAAGCTAACCCCTCTCTGCAGGCAAGGTCAAGTCATTTTGCTTTACATCAGTGGTGCTTTGTCAATGATTTTCATATTAATATGTGTATATTTTCTGCTACTTTTAACAATATTTGGTAGTAATAGCATTAGTAAACAAGTAAACCGCAATGCTAAAGTTTAATATCAATAAAATCAGGCCTTTATTTAGCGTAACACACCTGGTTGAATACAGTTCAACGGTATAGTACTTGGGAATAATTTAACATACATTGTTTCTCCATCTGCCTTGCCAAAGGTTAGATGAAACACTGCCTCTGACGTGATTATAAACTTTTAACTGAAACGCCTCTCTGTCTAAGAAATCAATAAGTTTGCATAATTCTGAAACATTCACATTTGTCCTCTCAATCAAATGAGGCCAATAAGTCATGTGAAAGCTGTGCATTTATCTTTTACAAAGTGCAATATGACTGAAACCTTTGGTCCTTATGCCTTAACAAAGGTTGCCCGTGTGATAAAATTTAAAGTTCAGCTTTTAGAAATAAAATGTGTTTTAATGTTTCTATAGAATGACTTGTTTGGATTCCCTTTAATCAACTGTATTCTTTAAAAAGCAATCCTATAAGAAAATGTGGGCTACTGCAATTTAACTGTTTTACCAAATAAAGTACAATTTTAACTTGTAAAAAAAAACCTCTTAAAACATTTGTCACAAATCATCTTTTAGAAAGCAACACATTTCTAGTGTTGTAAAAGGGCACATTTATTTCAAAAGAATGTTTTTGTATCTATTTTATGCACTTGGAATAAATCATGTTTTTTTGCAGCAAAGTTGCACTTTGTTGTTGTTTTTTTTTCCAGCTTGCAAAATGTAAAGCGTAAAATAAAATCAATATCTGGTTGTCTTTTTTTTTTACCCATTTGCACAACGTAAGAAATGCAATTGGATTACAACCAGATATGTGATTACTCGGTTTGAACCGAGTAATCACACATCACTTCCACAGAGGGTACATAATCCCTCCAGCGAGTCCTGAGTCTTCCCCGAGGCCTCCTACCAATGGGACGTACTCGGAACATCTCCAAAGGGAGGTCTCCTGGAGGCATTCTAATCAGATGCCTGAACCACCTCAACTGACTCCTTTCAATGTGAAGGAGCAGCGGCTGTACTCAGAGCTACCCCGGATAACGGAGCTCCTCCCCCTTTCTCTAAGGCTTAGCCCGGCCACCCTGCTAAGGTAGGTCATTATAACTGCTTGTCTCCAGGATCTCGTTTTTTCAATCTTGATGCACGCCTCATGACCATACAGGTGAGGGATGCAACACAGACCAGTGAACCGAGAGCTTTGCCTTTCGACTCAGCTCTTTCCTCATCATGACTAACCAAAGCAACACCCTCATTATCGAGTGTTATGGTAATATTTATTTAACAAAGACAGAAATACGTGGTCCAAGAATGAAGGTACTCCATGAGATGATCAGCTGAGTTTTATTGCAACAACAGGAAACACAGAGAACCTGTCCTGTCTCTGCTTCTCTCTGTCACTGTCTCTACACACTACTGTTGAACCCTGTTGAACCCTGTGTCTCGAGAGGCCTTATATATATATATATATATAAACAAACACCATTATGCCATCTTAGCAAGATTTGATACAAGGTCAATGGAAAACACAAAGACAAACACAAGTGATATCTAAGAATGATTATTGTTGTTAGCAGATCTTGTTCTGACTTTAATCATTCTGTCTGCAGATGAACAGCATGTCATGAAAACCTAGGTCATTAAAGGATGTCATGAATTACTTGCTTAAACATAAAAGTTTTAGTTCTATTGCACCGAGGATGTCCTTTGATCCAACTCCTGCTCCATCCTACATTACTCATGAACAAAACACCAAGATACTTAAACTCCTCCACTTGAAGCAGAGACTCTAACTGCAACACTTGAATTCATCGTGCAGCCAAATACTTTTTTGTCATTCTGGTACATCAGTTTGATCTTTTCCAGGCAAAGACTTTAACCCTTGTATTGTGCTGAGAAAAAAATACATTTGTTATGTTACGGGTCATTTTTCCTTGCATCTTCAGAATCTCACTGGGATGTTCTGGCTTATTTTTCTGACTGTTCCCAACAGCTTTCTCTCCTGAAGTTCATCTTCAAGATGGTAGGATGCAAAGAAGTTGTTACATGTGATGTTGTAACCTTGCAGTCCTTCGGTCATCTCCAATAACACACGCATACCCTGATTTTCCTCAGGTGCTCCTCCAGGTGGCTTTCCAGTACATACTTGCTGGTTCCACACATTACTGGATTTTGCATCACAGACTGCCCAAATTTTTTATGTCATATTTTGCAGGCTTGTTTGGCAAATACTGTCAGAATGGACAGCATCTTCTCAATGGAATGAGGCACTCATCGACAGTAACATGGGGGCCACGATTATACAATAAAAGCAGGATTTCGACCCATTTATCCCAGACATCTCTGATTGCTCCAAGTTCGTCTTTTCTCTTGTCAAAAATTCAAGTCAATTGGATCCAGTGGCTTTCATTTTTCTTGAAAGATACTCCTCCCCTCCAAATTGGTCATGTCAAGGATTATCATCTCTATGGGTTGGGAAATGAAGAGCTGAAATGCTGATTCAATATCATCAACTCGTGACAGCAAATCTTGTCGGATCAAGAGGCATTTTGATGACATTAGAAGATGACAGTCTGCCTCAGCATTGGTGTGGTGATGTTGACCCATTTTATTTTACCATCTTTGGATGTCCAGGTCCCCTCTGTGGATGACTATTTTTGCTTTTCTTGGTTTTCATCTGCTGAAGGCACACCAGCAAACTCATCCTCTGAATCCTCCTCATCATGCAAAATTGATAGCATTGTCCTCTGGCTCTGAAGGATCCTCCATCTCTGAAATATTTTATCTACAACATTATCCAAGTTCATAAGCTGCGATACAGCTTCTTCAACTGTAAATCGTCTGGTGCGTTTCTCAAAGAAAGGGAATGGACACAGTGACAAGGACAGGGGAAATAAAGTCCCTCCTCCACACACACCTGATTCTGAATGGCTATTCAAAGGCAATCAAAATAAAGTATATCAAAAAGACATGTTTAATTTGGATTTAAGCATCAACTTTGAATACAAACTCTGTACAAACACTCCATGACACATCAAAGTGTTCAGATTTTACTCAGCAGTTTATGACCCTAGATGGGGAAAAGTCAAAATTTCATTGGAAAAAAGTAAGGATAACCTGCATTTTGGTCAACACAAAAACTGAAATCAAATTGACCTGAAACATAATACAAGGATTAAAGCAGATTATATCAGGTTTAGTTTTAACTGAGTACCCAAATCAGACTCGACAGACAATGAGAAACAGGAACTGGCACAGGTAGTAAAAGGGTAAGTGAGTTTATTTACAGTGTTTACCCAGGATTTGCTGTAAGGGAAAAAAAATCAGGCTTTACTAATAGTTCTGTGGAGAAATTGGATGTTATTCAATGTTGTCATTGTCTTACAGGTCTTGGAGATGAGGCTGGCATGGAGGGGAAGGCCGAAGAGGATTTCCAGGTTGGTGAGTGAGGTTTGGGTTGTTCTTGTAGATGGTGGTGTAGGAGAGAGGCAGGGCGGAGACGGTGAGGAGGATCCACAGAGAACTAGTTCCAGAACAAGCTCAGCGCTTCGACGAGGGAGGAACCAGGGAGAACTCTCCAGAGGACTTCACAGGGTTTGAACCGAAGTTGACTGAATATTCCAGCATCGGATGGATCTCAGCCAGCAGCTTAAATGGTGTCAGAGTCTCATCAGAAGAACGCTGTGCAGGTGAGTCCATCCCAGTCCTCCGCCCACATGCCAATCTGCAAACAATCAATCAGCAGAGCAAAAACGACCACAACCTCTACAGATTAAAGGGTTTCAACTTGTAATATTCAGGGTTTTTGGCAGAAGCACATAGAATAAAGGTGAGGACTGTAGATGCAGAATTTGGACAATCAAACCTGGTGTGGCAGAGGAAAGACACATTACACTTCCTACCTTGAGTCAGTGACTTCAGCTCAAAACTCACAGAAACCTGCAGTGAGACCGTACACCCAACTATTCGCTGGAAGAGTTTGTCCAGACGTGCATGGAGGAGTTATTATTAAAAGGCTTCTTCTTTCATTTGTAACAAGACTAATGGATCTATGGAAACTTAAGATTGCATAATAAAAAATGCATTAGTCATAAAGAATAACAAGAAGTCTTAAAAGAAATGGTATAAAACTGGTCAACAATGTTAAATTTTTTCTGTTTCATTTTGATGTTATTTTAATGGCCGTCGACAGCACACCTGGTATATCTCCCCTGTGTTTTGTGAGCAAACAACAAATGTGTGTTTACTGTCTATGTAAGCAGGAAAGACAAGCTTGCATGCTATGGAAACTACTGCAAGTGGAGCCACAACTGCTGACCTCTGTCACCACAGCAGTGACATCAGCCCTTGTGCTTCATTGGTTGCTGACTGTCAGGCCATCCTCTTCATGCTGGGCAACACCTCAGTGTGAACGCTCCAGCTGTTCACTGCAGTCAGACAGCTTCAAACTCGTCTAATGCTGCAGGCTGATTTACAGCTAAATCTTAATCTGAGGTCATAGCTTATTGAGACGATACACTGTCAAACGTAATCTGCGGGATTTACCTGCACACGTTGCAACTTTACAGACCAGTTTAAGACCAGGGTTATTTTCAGGTATTAGTTCAGTGCAATTCAACCAAAATGTTTCAAATTAGCAAGAGAAAAAAAGTGTAATCAGCGACAACACTACCAGAGGATTCTTTAAAAGTTTTACAGATAATTGCAGGCCAGGTTTCTGGAAACTTCACTAACATTTCCTAATTTAGCCTAGAAGAAAACAATGCGATAACTTTTAATCATAAAAAATAACAATCAAAACGCTGACAAATGTGTCTGCAAAAAAATTAATAAATAAAAAACTGCAAAAGGGATTTTCAGAAACTTCTTGTTGATGCACACTTCAAAAATATTTTTTATGTTTATTAAACAACATAACACCTTCATAAAGTGTATTATATAACACATTTATTTTTTATTCATTTAAATGCATTCCTAATAATCTTCAAATGAAAAGTTGATTTATTTGTTGTTTCCTGTAACATATTCTACCCTCTAATCTAATAATACAAAGAATAATAAAAAGAGCAGTCACAAAGGTTAAATTTTTTTTATTATTTCAACAGACCTGAGTGTTTTGTCTTGATGATGATGTCTGTGAACCAATAAAACAACAAGACAGTTTCTACTTTTCTCTCATCTCAGTTGTTGTGTCTCATTAAACCTAAATCCAAAATCATCCTTTCTAAATCCCGAGTTCCAAGATAATTTCTTTTCCTTTAATCCTAATTTGCACACAAGAAGTTTGCAAAACAAAGGAAAGGGACCTGTGAGGGTCAGACGGTGGGGAACTAACCTTTTATGCTGCAGGAAAGCTCTGTTTGGATTAGTGATGCAGATTCTCCCAAATCTGATCAGTGTCAGGATTTCTCATTTGGTTTTTGTTTGTTGTGTAAAATTTTATTTTATTTTATTTTATTGGTTTGTGGGGGTTCAGTTCTTTTCATCAAATTAAAATGCGTAATAATTGGTTTTTGTTTGTTGTGCTTTTTTGTGGGGGGTTCAGTTCTTTTCATCTTTGGTAGTTTCTAAGAAAGTATGGAAAAACCTTTTTTTTATTTATTTTTTAGCATGCAACAAATTAAAACGTGTAATAATTACTCAAACAGAACATTGAGGACAGCATCTTGCATTCTTCTAAACTGCA